AGGAGGGAAACAGCAGGAATGATGAGAGAGACCCTGAAGGACAGGAGAGAATCAGGAAGGGCCAGGAAGAGGACCCCCAAATTCCAAGAAGAGGAGGGATCTTCAGGTTCAGAGCCCCTTACCTGAAAAGCCTGGGGTTCTAGTCCTCCGGCCTCAAAACCAACCCTCAGCAGTCGGAAGTCTCGGCCATGAATCAGAATCTCTTCAGGTATAAATTTAAGCTGTGACCCTGGACGGAGGAGCTGAACCCGTGACAAGCCACTCACTAAAGCAGAGTTAGAAAGCTCTGTAAACACCTCATCCCTCTGGGAGATCTTCCCACTCAGCATGGAAGACAGAGGCTCCTCCACCCTGTTAAGCCCCCAGACTTACTAGCCTCTAATCGCCCAACGTTGACCAAGGCAAAATCATATTCACTGCTCAGGGGAGTGTCCTGGAGGAAGCATATGAACGATGACACAGACACCTGAAATGACCCTCCTTTCTCTACCTTGATGACTCAACTCCCCTCTAGCGAGAGCTCTCCTAAAAATAATCACACACACACCCTTTTGAGATAGGGTGTCATGTTGTCCTGCAGGCTGGCCTTGAATCACTATGTAGTCCAGGCTGGCCTCGAACTCCTGGTGATCCTCCTGCTTCAGCATCAGGAGCATCAGGGTGCACCCCCACAGCTGGCCCAAATATAATCCCCTTTGACTATCTGTAAGGCATTCCAAAGACAGCCCTTTACCCTTTTGTCTAAATCTACCTAGACTCCTTACCCATTTCACTGTGTCTTGTCTGTGGCCCTAATCATTTCACCTGACTCCGATGCCATCCACAGGGCTGGAAAGTAACCCTAAAGTTGGTGCATATCAGGGTTCCAGGCAATTCGGGTTCCAGTCCTTTCCTCAGCCCTGGGGCCCATGCTAGTATCTGCTCCCCTAAGAAGGAAGAAGGGATGCCAAGTTATGACTGTCCCCAGTGTCACCCATATTGTATATATCTATTCCTCTTAAATGAGGATACAGAGAGGGAAGATTAAAATCCTTCCCTGAACTCACAAATTTGAGGAAAAAGTATGTTGGGTTTTTTTAAATCTTTATAACCAGAATAGCATATAGACCAGGGCCTGACATACAGTAGACACTCAGTTATTAAATGAAAAAAGAGGGAACAGGGTCAAGAAAAGAGAGGGAACAGTAAGGTCCAAGCTCTCAGCCACACCTGGACAGAGAGGCAGCACACCTCAGACAGGAACATTTTGAGCCAGGAAATGACTGCAGAGGTCTTTGGTGAGGGCAGGAAGAGAGCTGGGATGGGATGGAATTGGAGGGCTTGCAGGAGATCAGATCATTACCTGGGAGGTATCCGGAGGCCAGGCAGCTGCCTGGCTGACGACTCCTGTGTTCTGGCATCCTACTTCCCTGGGCAGACTTCAATCCAGAGAGCTGAGAAGGGTACAGCTTTAATCCTAGGTATCCTGAACCCTGGGGTCTGGCATCCCCATCAGCAGCCCCCTTTAGAGGCCTACACTCAGACTGGGGGAAACTGAGATCTGTATCTGTGAGAGCTCTGGACTGGGACTGGCAGACACTACAGGGAAGGGCTAGTTAATGGGTAATGAGACCACGAACTTGAGACTGTGAAATAGACCGACCAAGCTCCATGGGCGGACACACCCTCCTCTGATCTCCTCCCCCTCCTCTCCACGGCATCCCCATGCACCCCTCCCTTAACGCCCCCCAATCCTTCTCCTTACCCCTACCTCTGGCTCCTCCTTCTGGGAGGCAAGGTTGAAACTCTGGCCCCGGCCCCCCCACCACATTTCTCTGGCTCCATCCAGGGATGGAGCATTAAAGGTAGGAAACCCTAAGGATGCTCAGTCCCTCTGGGAAGGGGGTGAATCTTACAGTTGAGAAAAAGATTAAACAGTGGGGCACATGGAAGGACACTAGAGGAAAGAGCACAATGTGGGGGCTTTTGAAAGGTGTGAGCAGCCCAACCAGAGCAGGCTCCTCGGAAACTTCAGTCTCCGACTCTGGAGAGGGCGGGGAGCTGCCCAGCCCCTTAAAGGAGAACACACTGTCTTGGAAAAGTAGAAAGGAAATGGAGGAACTTCGGAAAAAGTGAAAAATGAGGAACACAGGAAAAACCGGACTCCCTCGTTTACCCCCAATCCCACAGTCTATTCTCTTTCTATCATGAGTATTGAGGATTGCGGGGGTCAGTAATGTTTTTGTTTTTTTAGACAGGGCCTCACTGTGTAGTTCAGGCTGGCCTTGAACTCACAGTGATGATCCTCCTGTTTCAGCTTCCTGAGTGCTGGGATTACAGGTGTGCACCACTACGCCCAGCAATACACTGATTATTAAAGTGGAATAACTGGGACCACCTCTCCAGACTTTCAGTGATGGCTTCCTTTCCCTGAGAAACCGTGTGTGTGTGAGTGTGTGTGTGTGTGAGTGTGTGTGTGTGTGTGTGAGTGTGTGTGTGTGTGTGTGTGTGTGTGTGTGTGTGTGTGTATGCGCGCGAGCGCCCGCGAGTGAGTGAAAGGAGGTAGGGTAGAAATACGAAGTAGTTCAGCCCTCTTAACTGCCTCTCTGATTAACCTACCAAAAGTGATTGAGGAGGGAAAGCAAATCGGAACCAGACTTAAGATGTCAGGGAGCCGCAAGATTGAGGGAGGAAGCTGATCAGAAAGTCTGTGTACCTCCTGCGCCAGAATGTGAAACACATTTTCCTCAGCAGAAGCGCGAAGCAGCTGAGGCGCCCAGGTCACTGCCAGCACATGCCGGGTGCGGGAGAGCCGAGGTCGGGAGCATCTCCCCGACGACCCGTCTCGCGGAACACCCGGGCGCCCCCCTCGGATCCCAGGCGGGGGCAAGAAAAGCCCACCCGCACGTGACCCCGCCCTCCCGCGGGGACACCAGATCTCTGAATGAATGTTTCATGTTCCCGATCTTCAGTTCCACGACCGCAGCCCCCCTCCCTTACCCCTGCAACCCAAGAAGCAAAGGTGGGGGTGGGGTGCGAGGCAAGTAACAGATGCAGCCCGAGATGTCTTGGGGGCAGCAATACAAAAAAAAATGCTTAGGCATGAAAAAAGACAGGAAATAAAATACAAAGTAAGATTTAATGAGCTGCTGTTTTATTGTTGTTTGTACAAGGCAACAACTTTAGATGGGGGCCCATTTTCCAAAGTGACATTCAACTCCCTGCCCCCAGCACACACGCCCTTCCGGCCTCAGCTTTATAGCTCCCCGTCCCGGCGGGCACTGTGGAAATGATGATGCTGTGAGCCAGGGAGTCGGTCTGGAACACAGACGTGCACACCTGCTAGAAGGGGCCCAGAAGACGGACTGCAGCAGTCATGAAGGCTGCTGAGCACCCTCGCAGCCCCGCGTCCTGCGGGAAGACGCTAAGTCCCAGGCTGTCGCAAAGTAGTAACAGCATAGAAGAATGTGCCGCGATCTTAAAATCGCAGTATGGTATCCATTTTCCTTCTTGCCACCTCACCATGAGATCCTCGTTCTATTTTGAGGTATGGGAGCAGCAGCAGAATAGAAAGAAAAAACGTTAGGGGAATGAGAAGACAAAGGGGATGCCTTGGATCAGCACCTAGCCAGTAATGCAAGGGGTACAGCAGCTGGGAGCCAAGTAACCGGAAGACTATACCTCTCTCCACTCCAACACGCCCCAGTAAGAGAAAGGGTGGAGAGGGCAAGAGGCTGTATCAGTTTTTCCATTTTCAGAATCCTGCTCCAGTTGCAGGTTTGAGCCAGGAGTGAAGGCTGTTGGGAGGTGGAGCTGAGTGACTCACAGACTGAGTCACCGATGCAGTTACAAGCACGGAGAGGCCAAGGTCCTTCCCCACCCCCACTCAGCACCAGCCTCGGTTGCTCTTTCCTACTGCTCCTTACCAGCTGGACTAGCAAAAGGAGGCGGCATGGAGAAAGTCTATGTGGGGACAGGGACGCAATACAGCCTATTATATCAGCTTAAGTAAAGGGGCCAAACTGGCTGTGTCTTCCTCTGAAGAGACCACACTGTATGACTCACCCAGTCTGGAGCTGAAAGGCCCCAGGCAACGTGGAATGACAAAAAGCTGAGGGGTGGGTGACCTCAGGCTGGAAAGGGACTCGTGTGGTTGTTCAATTGGCTCGGAGAAAAAAGACACGGCGTCTAGAGGTGTCTGAGTAACTAGAGACAACATCTCTGAAATGTTCCTTTATTAAGAAAAAATGTGATGAGAACCTTGGACATGACAGTAAAAGCTAGGTTCTCAGAAATCTTTGAGAGCCAACTCCCTTCTTTCCAGCTTATCATTTCCCAAAGATACAACACAAAGTTGTTGCTATTTTTTTTTTTTTTATTGGTCTGTGAGCTTTACTTTGGGGACAGAGATATGTTCACTCCAATGCCCTGCACAGCACTGACTTTTAACATCATCCCCTACTCCTTACAGATTTTGAGACAGGATCTTATTACGTACTTCAAGCTGGCCTCACACTCACGCAATCCTCCTGCCTCAGCCTCCCAAGTAGAAGAATTACATGCACAAACCACCACACCCAGCTGACTCTTTTTAAAAATGTATTTTGCTGATTAAAATCAGTATGGAGACTTCCCTAACTAAAACCAGCAGAGGATTGGGGGGCTTATCCTGTAGTATATTTGCTCTACTGGGGATGAGATAAATATAGCATACAGGGTAGCCCTGTTTCTGAAGGGGAGGAAATAACCCTGAAAATCTCCCCTTCCCATTAAAAATTTCAGTAGGTACCTCAGATGCCCTGATTAAAGGAACTAAGTGCACTTAAAATTGAAGCCTGAGATAATGTCATGCTTCACCAGGGATTACAGGGTCCCCCTTCACTCACATACTCTCATGAGTCAAGGGAGTTTTGTTATTGTTGTTTGCGGATTTTGTTTTGTTTTTTTGGTTTGAGACTGGGTTTTGCTATGAAGTTCTTCATGGCCGTGAACTCACTATGTAGCTCTGGCTAGCCTTGTACTTGCCAGCCAATTTTTTTGCCTCAGCTTCCCAAGTGCTGATTACAGGCAAGTGCCACCTTGCCCAGCACCAAGAATCTTTATACTTTTGAGTACATGCCGTGTAACCCTCTCCCTCAGCTCCAACATGCTACTGCACAGGACTGCATAGCCCATTCATCTTTCCAAAATATGAAGTGATCTTTGTCTACCTTGATTTCCCAGGCATTATTCCTTAAAACATCCTACCCAAATCCTCCTCAAAAGGATAATCCAAAACAAACTTTAGTATTCCCTATTTTTAAAATATCCATTGTCTCAGAGTCCCTCATCCTTAGAATGAAGTTTTCCAAAGCCTTACTAGTTACCTTCTCAAGTAAAAAATAATTTATTAATAAAAAGCTATAAGGCCTAAAGCCCTACTTTATCATAGTCGCCTCAGGACTCCCTTCCCCTCCCCTGAATTTCTATCTTTTTTCCTTTGAGGACAAAGGGAATTGGGGAACTTATAAATAAAAACAAACATGATACAAGGTTTCTACTTTTGCTCATTTTCCTGTTTTTAAAAACAGAAGTGTTAGCTAAATCTAATAATAAATCAAGTCCAAACCCAGCAGTCCAGTGGAGAATTGTCTTCCCTGGCTTTCTCTCTGGGAACCCCCTGGCTGCTCCCAGCCACTTGGTCCAGGCCAGAGCCCTCCTGACAGTTCTGTGGGAGAAGCAAGCTGTGCACTTAGGGACAGAGAGGCCTCACCGGGTGGTCTGACCAGTGTCATTCAAACCCCAGAAATGGGCAAGAGCAGGGTGAACAAGGCATTCACCTAGGGTACAAAATGAGGGATGCATAAAAACTCAAAAACCAAGATAAACACTATTTCAGTGCAATATGCATTACAAATAAAAATGTAGCACTCATGATGAACAATGTATCAAAATATAAAGACAGGAATCATCCTATAGGTGTTCCTCCAATCTTGCTTCCCACATACTATTTCTGGTTCTGTCAGATCCAGTCTTAATTTTCTTAGTTTTTCTTTTTGAGACAGGGAATCACTAAGTTCAGGGTGGTCTGGAACTCACAGGCTCAACCTCCGGAGTGCAGGCATTACACGTATGTGCCAGTGAGCCTAGTCTTTAAAATTTTGATACTGTGTTCAGCATGGATTTTGATTTTTTTTTAAAGTTCTAAATTTTTTTCAAGTGTTATTGATTACTGAGTGCCCTTTTAAATTCTGCATATAAGGGGAGTGCTTGTCTCAGCTGTCAGCTCTGCCCAGAAATACCATAAACCCTCCTGTGAAGCCTGCTTCCTTAAAACCACCTTACTGTCCAATAGAAGCCTAACACTTCACAGCCATATGAAATGATTGAATCGACAGACCAGCAGTTTGCAAAGTGATTTTCAAGTCTGTTATGGAGAAAAGAACCTTTCTAAAAGTAGTTCCACTGAGAAAATCTTGGCTGACTTTGTTACCAAAGGGCAAATGAAATGAAAATGTTTCCTGAATGGGCAGAGGGAACACACACAAGTAAGTTCCCCCGGCACACATAGGCATCTTCACACTACGCGTGCCCCAGATCAGATGTGCGGATTACAGTCCACGGGATGGCGACTAACACGTGCCTCGACAGAGAAATCCAAGTACAGAAAAGCAGCCCCAATTAACATTCTGGACACGTAAGTGCACTTATTCTCCTTCTGTATATGCACCCCGGAGTGTATATATATATATATAATTGCATAGTTTGTTTTTTGTGTTTTTCACCAGAAAAATATATAAAGAAAAACTGGCCCAGGATAGGTCTGGTTTAAAGCTTTTAGAAACAGCTCTGGCCAGAGCAGACTTGTGCTTTGTGCAAAATGCAGAAGAGCGCCCCTTCTGTGTCCTCATCCCCATCCCTGACCCCCGGAACGCAGGGCTAAGCCAGGGATCGGCTCATCAGGAGTAATATGTGATCTGTGGTTATAGTTCACTAAAATATATTTTTAACTACCTTTTTATAAATTGCCCAAGTCCCCAATCTATGTTTCAACATCAGTCCTAATATCAAAAATAGCTTTTCTTACAAAGTATGTTATTATTATTATTTTAATAAACTAACCACAGATTAAGGTCAACTATGGCTTAACAAAAGAAGCCGGGATGTTAAATTCATTCTCCAAAAGTAGAGAGGAAGGAGAAAGAATCACTTAAATAGGAAAAAATAATAATTCTTAAAAATGTTTTCGTTTGTTGGGGTATTTTTTGTTTCTTTTCCTTAAAAAAATTAGTCAATAAAATAAGTTGCTTTCTACAGAAACACAGCAGCAGAAGATGGTAGTGCTTTACATAGGTTTTTGGTTTGGTTTCAAACAGTCTGACCAAAATATCTGTCCTTCCCCAACCTGTCCCAAAGTACTATACACTCAAACCCATTATGGTTATTGCTAAGTAGTTAAAAAACAAATCACTCTGCACCCATTCACCTGGAGAAAAATCAAAACAGCCATTCTTCTCAACACACTCTCTTCCTCAAGAGGAAATGTTTTTAAAATAAAATTTAAATATTTTTTTAAAAAATCATAACCTTCTTAATTTAGCCGAGCTTAGCCTTCAAATAGATGAGGAAAAGACAGGGACAATCTTACCCGTCCTCTCCAACTAGATGGATGACAGCTGATTGTAGAAGGAAGACTTAAGAGGAAGGGAATTCCCTTTAAGTTCTTCCCTCTCCCATCTTTATAAACTGGGATTTTAACTATTTTCTGTCCCTAACAAGTACCCAAGAGTGCACAGTATTGCCCTGCCTTGCCACATACCTTATTAAAATCAACAGTAAATCTATTCAGTATCTGTTTCCCTTACACTTCCAGCTCCATCACCATGTATTTCTTCCAAACCTAAAAGAACTTTGGTCTATCTTGTCTTTGACTGAGAACATTCTTTACCTGTTCCTCCCTGGCATCTGCCCTCCTCCCACCCACACCAAACCTTCCCCTACTACTTTCCCTTAGGTTCTGGGATGGAACACAAGACGTTATAGAACGAATCACCATCTACTGTCTCTCATGGCTCCTAAGTCCCATCAAGTCAAGCTCTGGAAAGCAGTGCAGCCCTCAGGCAGCATCCAGCCCTAGCTGCTCTTAGCAGCCTGGCAGCACTTCAATGTGCACAGACTTAAAAGTTTCCAGTCAGGCTCCCACAAACATTTATGCACTTGCCCCATCAACATGGGGCTGGGTCTTGATGAGCCAATAGTCAAGCTTAACTTTGTTGAGCCCCCTTGCCCTCCAAGGTCCCACCATTCAAAATCTGTGCACCAGCAGCTCCCCACTGGGTTCGCGTTCCCTCCTCCTCAGTTCTTCCCTATAACAGCAAGAGCAGAAGTTGTTGGTCTCAGGGTGTCCATAGAAGCTGCAGTTCGGTTGTTTGCACTTGGTCTGGGTTGGGGGAAGCCCCAGGGGACCTCCAGCCCATCCATCTGGCTCAGGGGGTTCCCTATAGCCATTGCTATAGGAATCAGCCACACGGAAGTGAGTTGGCAACAATGTGCCCCTGTGAATTCCATCCTTGGAGTGAGTGCCTGGCTCTGGAGGTGGGATGCTGTCCTGGTGGGGGTAAGGTCGACCGGGAGGGCACTGCCTGGGGAAGGTAGCATATGGTGGTAGGCCCCCCACACAAGGACCCCCTGCCAGCTGTCTCCTTGGTTCTTGGCAGTGGACCCCACCCCCAGAAGGCCGAGGGATAGTAAAGCCCCCAGGGTAGCCAGCTGAGAAGGCCACTGCCTTGGGCTCTCCTGGGGGCGCAGTCAGCTGCTCCTCCCCACCATCTGGCTCCGGTTTTTTGGCTGGAGGAGGCCCACTCCCTACCCCTCCATTAATGATCTTCCTCTCTGCCTCCTTCTGCTTCTGCTCTGCCAGGAATCTGTCCTCAGCATCAGCAAGGTACCGCTGGATCATCTCCTCCTGATACTGGTGACGGTGACCCATCTTCAGGGCTCCAACAAAAATAAATTTACCCTCCCCTTGCATTGCGATCCTCATAATGCTCAGGCTCTGCATCACTTCCTGGCTATACTTGCTCCCTCCATTACTGACACACTCCAGCGTGGACTTCTCAGACACAGGCCCATCCCCAGCTGCCTCCTCCTTGCCACCCTTCCAGCTCTTCAGTGAGTTTTTCTTCTTCTTCTCCAGTGTCTCAGTGCCACTGTTCACCCCTGACCCAATGCCCACCCCTCCAGGCTTAGAGCCTTTGCTGTGCATCAGGCCTCCCATGTTCTTTTTGAGCTTGCTGCCCAAGGTTTTGCCAAAGCTGCCCAGTTTGTTAGCCACAGAATCTGCTCTCTTCTTGTCCTTTTCCCGATCTCGCTTGGATTTCTCTTTCCGCTTGTTGCCCTCATTGCTGGTAGAACTGCTGCCAACTGACTCCTTGTCAGATTCCCCAGACTCAGGAGTAGATCGAGGCTCATCACCAGCTGAAGCTGTTGGGGACTCAGGCTGCGCCAGAGGAGCCTGGAAGAGACAAGAGCAGTATCGATGGTGATGCGGTTTCCTGAGCCAGTGGAAGGTGCCCAGGAAACTCAACCTTGAGCCCACCCATCAGCTCACAGGCCTCCCTGTTGCCACTGCTGTAGGGATCAGGAGTGCGGCTGGTGAGTGCCCTCCCTACTCCATCCTCCAAGTGACTGCCTAGCTCCAGAGAAGGGCTGTGTCATGATGAAGGAAGGGTCACCCAGGAGGGTACTGTTGTTTAGCTCCAGTTTCTCATGATCAACATTAGATGTACATAATATCTAATTTTTATTTTACCTACTGCAATTTGACTCCCTCTAATAACAAAGAGATACTGAAATATAGCCTTACTGCTCTTCACAGCAATAAACAATCACACAATACACAGCCTCTGGCTGAGGAGGGAGAATATTTTAGAGATACCAAAATGTTTGCTATAAATTTCTCTGTGTCAAATCCTGTTAAAATTAATTTCAGAGGCTGACGAGATAGCTCAGCAGTCTAAAATGCCAGCTTAGGCAAGCTTAGGCAGGCGCAGGCGACCACAGTTCGATCCCTGGCATCATATGCTGCGCCAGCCCTGCCCCCAGAGGATGAGCCAGCCAAAAGGAAAAAATGCTAAAAAATTAAAAATTCAAAAAAAATACAATTTCAAAGAAATCTTGACTAACTACAACCAATGAAGTCTAACCACTTTGCATCCCCCAACATTTACAAATTCAGCACTCCTGAGGTCATAAAATTTGCCTCTGCTCCCATAGTGCTGTTCCAGCTCAGAATCTACAGAATAAGGAACTGTTCCAATACTGTGCCTCTTTCTGGTGTCCCAAACAAAGGCCCATCTATAGAAAGTTTGGGGAAAGTAATGACAAACTTGACTTCACTGACAACTTTACAGAATGTATTCTAGGGATGTGACTATAACTCAGACATATAGCACTTGCCTGGCAGGCACAAGGCCCTGAGTCTGATTCCAGTAGCACTGCCACGGGAAGGGAGGGGCAGTATGAGAACACAGAGCCTGGTTGGAGAGATATGGACCCCAGAGGAAGTAACAGGGTTTTAAAAAGGCAGGCAAAAGTGTTTGTGTTACTTACTGACATCTTTCAGTTACTCCTAATCCTGACTCATAAACTAAACTAAGCAGAGACTCAAAAGGCAAGTGCCACCAGGTCTCCTGACTGTCCCTGTCATGGAACATGAGGACAGGGTAAGAGACATCTTCACCTGTGCATCAGAGGATAGTGGGATCCATTTTACATCCATGTAGCTATGCAGCAGATGTAATTTGACCTCCAGAGACAGAATTACACTGTAGAAAGAAAAAGAGTATTAAAAACTTACTATGACCATATTTAAAAGCAAAGCAGAGTGATACACTTGGAGAGAACAATTGAGTCTTCCATGGCTTAGGATTCAACTGAGTTTGAATTATAGTTTTGTGATCTTGAAAGTCAGCTGGGGTCCATAATGGGTATTAGTAACAGTATCTATCCTGTGGCGTTGTTGTGAAGATTAAAATAAGTGTCTGGAAAGGACTTAGCACAGTGTCTGGAAATAAAAAATACTAAGCAGTAGTCATTATTATGACTTAAGTATTATTTAGAAGAAGGTTTTGATAATTAGGTAAGAACTTATTTCTAAAAAGCCATAAGCTGGGTTTTAAAATCAAACCCAGTCAAGCAGCTCCCAAAGCTACAGAGGCCCAAAGAGGAAGCAGCAAGTACAAAGGACAGGCAGAACTTTTAGGTTCCTCTGCTCTGCATTGGGAAGCTGCAGAGGAAGTTAGGAGAAGAGGCTAAGCAGGCTATAGGGAAGTGGATATGGAGTAGAAGGGATATATTTTTCTTGCTGTTTAAATTCCAGAAAGAGAAAAACCCAGAGCAAAGTATTTCAATCCACTATTTAAAATTCTTCTTATATGGGCTGACATAAAATGATTTGATTCTCGTTCTGGTGACTGTTTTTTGGTAATTCTGGGGTATATCAGTAAAGGCTCACTCTTCCCACTGTAAGAAAAGAACAAGTTGAGACCCCAGGACTCATAACTTTCACAGAGACAAAGCCTGGTACCCAACCTGGCTCATACCTCACCATTTTATCAAACTGGAATTGGAATGTGAATGTGTTGCTTTTGAGCTAAGGAAAAATCCCAACAACATGCACCTGGAAAAAATCCCTGACATGAAGCAGATGGAAAGGCTGGGACTGCCTCACCTGGCCAATCGGACATTGTCACTGTCATCTTTGCCCCACTCCCAGCCCTTTCCTGGGTCCACTGCAAAGTGCAAAGGCAGCAGCTTTTGCTCTGAGTCTGTCAGTGGGATCAGAGCTGAGAAGGAAAACAAAACATGATGTCAAGGTGACTTGAGAGAGGACAGCATCCAAACGAACACAGCTGACTTCACTAAGATTGTAGCAGGGCTCTAACTGTAGCCACTTCTCGATCCTCTAACTGTAGCCACTTCTCGATCCTTGCAGGTGAATTACTCTAACATTTAAAAACCAATAGGTCAGTTTTCCCCTACCACCCAGCACACAATGCAGGACACCATTCTCCATGACTCCCCATCAGTCCATGTAACTTTCACTGCATTCTCGACAGCTATACGGATTCAGAGAATTCAAAGTCATTAAGATAAATGCAGCAAAGCATTTGGAAGGTCCCATAACCTTCATGCATATGCCTCATACTCCAGAACAAGCAAAATAGGCTATGTTCTTCTCCAAGATTTTTTTTTTTTAAATTGAAAACTCTGCTAAGGCTGGGGAGATAGCTCAGCAGCATAAGTGCTTGCCTGGCAAGCACAAGGTTCTGGGTTCAATCCCTCGTAAAAAGAAAAAGAAAAAGAAGAAAAGAAAACTAAACTCTGCTGAGCTGGGCACAGTGGTGCATCTGTAATACCAGCACTCAAGAGGTTGAGGCAGGAGAAGCACCATGAGGTAGAGGCCAGCCTGAACTGTATAACAAGATTCTGTCTCAAAAAACAAGACCAAAAAGAAAAACCTAATAAAACAGCATCAACATGTATTGTCTGGGTTTGCAGATCCCTTAATTCTTTCCTTATGCATTAGTCCTCATTTTCCTATCCCCAAGTGAAAATACTGCAGACCAAACAACACTAGAGACAGACACTGTGTCTAGCACCTTGTTCCTTGGCGTTTTCCTTCTGCTCCATGGACACAAGTGCAGAAAAGTGGGCCTGATCATAGGCGAGCACCAGAGGAGATCGGTGACACTGGCTGACGGGAACCTCCAAGGGCAGATAGATTCCCCCAAAGGGAATAGGAGCAAATGCTGTAGAAAACCGAGATCGTCACTAAGACTATGACCTTCGCTAGTGAGCAATCCTTCCACCTCAGTCTGCCAACCTAGCCCTGCCTTTCATTCCAATTTGTTTAATAATTCTTTCCTAAAAAGTCTTCTCAATTAATCCCAATGGCTTTACTATGCAACTCTTAAGAAGTCTGCATTGTTCTAACTCCCACTTTTCCTTTCTTCTCCAGCTATCTGTAGATCCCCCTTTCCCACCCTCCTCCCAGTGCTCAGCCAAAGGACTGCAAGGGGGGATGCTGGGCTGCAGTGAGGATGGATGAGCTCACTCACCTTCCCCTCCAGAGTCCCTCAGCATGGTGTCTGCCACGACCACTATCGGCCTCTTGAGCACATGAGCAAGGACGAAGACGTGGAACTCTTCCAAACTCTCATATACAGGCTCCTCAGAGCTCTCCACCCTAGAATTGCAGCAGAGGAGAAGAAGGAGCACAGCAGAAGGGAGGGAAGAAAACAAGAGAGCCTAAAGGCCAGTTCTAGAGAAAAGGAAAATAGGAGTGTCCTTTCCTGGTTTCCCTATTTACTTAAGCCTATCACTGATAGAACGGATCATTTTACACTATCATGGTTGTTTTTACTTTCATCTCTCCAAAGGGAAAATCTGAGAATTTAGAATTCAAAGGCTCTGGAGTTAAAGTGGGGCTAGGGAATCTTGAGGTAATCCTCACCTCTTAATATCCAACCTGCTTAACAAACCTCCCCAATTCTCTAGCCAGCAGCTGAATATACAACCGCCTTAGCCCCATCCTGCTTACCTTTCCCACCACAACACCCACATATCACATTCATCGTGCCATGCAAAAGAAAGCCCAGTTCCTCTTCCTATGTTCTTATTTAAGGACCTCCACCATTATTTAGGCGCTTACTTACAAACTGAAGAAATATTTTCTGTTCTACTTACCTTTCCTTTCCTTCCTTCCTTTTTAAAACAAGGTCTTATTATATGTTATTGCAGGGTGGTCTCAAACTCACAGTGATCCTTCTGCCTCAGCCTCCCAAGTACTAGGATCACGAGTGTGTGCCACCACACCTGGCTTTTACTATTCTTTACCACTTAGCATCAATTAACCTTGCTTAATTCCATTTCCTATATGCCCTTTTAAAAAACTTTTTGTTAGTCCATATTTCCAATACCTAATGATTACATTCATAGTGGGGATGGTGGGGAATTGGTCCATGTACAACACACCTTAATTCCTTTTAGGTCCTCTTCTCCTCTCTGCCTGCTCACACTTGGGACCATGTCTTGGTCCTCTTGCCATTTATGAAAGATGCTGTGTATTTCTTGTACCTGTGCCCTCTAACCTATGTTCAGTCTACCACCCTGCTCACACTCAAGGCCCTCTTGCTTGGATTATTACTACAACTGCTTATAACCTCACTCCCCTCCTCCTTATTATCTGCTCCAGTGTCTTGTGTTCAAATACACAGATTTGTTCTTGTCACTCTCATTCTTAAACTACCTAGCTCTCCCACCAAACCCCAAAACAATGTTACTCAACACTGGGTACTTATTGCAAACTTGCGATTTCTGAGCCTTACTCAGCCATACTTTCTTGAGGCAGAGGTCCAGAAGGCTGCATTTTAAATAATTCTCCCAAATTAATATTATGTATAATAAAGTTTGGAAAGGTAATAATTTTTAACTTTCTACTATGGAACGTTTCAAAATTTTAGCCATACTGAATACTTGAGAGCCTATCAAGGTTTGAGGGGAGCTCAGTAGTACAGTATAAGCTTAGCATGTCCAAGGCCCTGGGTTTAAGCCCTAAACAAACAAATAAACAAACAAAATCACACTAAATTCTTATGTATCACAATGCTTCAACAATAATAAATTGGTGGCCAATTTAGTTCAAATATACCTTGATCTATTTCCTTATCCTTTCCCACTCCCACGCCACTAGATTATTTTGAAGCAAATCCTGAGCATTATATTATTTCATTCATATACATTTCAGTAAAACCAAACACACACCAGGTGTGGTGGTGCATATCCATAATCCCAGCACTTGAAAGGCTGAGGCAGGAAGATTGCTGTGAGTTCAAGGCTAGCCTGAGCTACAAAGTGAGCTCAAAGCCAGCCTGAACAGCAAAGTGAAATCCTGTCTCAAAAAGACAAACAAACCAAAACAAAAAAACGAACATGCAGATATTACGCATGTTTTCCTGGCTGTCTTTTAAATGTTCATACGTTCCAATTGGTTGGTATGTTTTATTGTCTTTAAATCTATATTTCCCTGTCCTTTTTTTTTTTTCACTGCTTGTCTCACAGTTTCCCAAAGCCTAAATGGGACATAAATCTGTTACTTAATATGATACAAGAGAAACTTTGGCATGGCACACAAAATGTGGACTGCCCAATCTCAGTTATCATTTTGCACAACATATTCCAGCCTAGCTACACTAAATACTGAAGTCCCTGGAACACACTATGCTGTACATACGGTATCCTTGCATGACCCTTCTCTTTTGTTTTAACTGGGAACACAGAGCTCTTCTCTGTGGCATCTTAGTCTAGTGAGGATTTTCAAAAAGACCATTTTTTGCCCCCACCCCCACCCCAACTTAGCCGTACTCACCCTCCACCACTGGCTCCATTGGTACCGAGATGCATTCGCGGCTCACTTGAGGCAAGCTTGATCAGTTCATTCCATTCCTTCTGCCATTCTTCCTCTGTGTACACCAGTCCTGACTGCAGGCACCCGGGGAGATCAAGCAATTAAAGGCTATACTCACTCCAACTTACTCGCTGTCACCACCCTCCACTCTGTTAGCACTTGACTTACAGTTGTGGTACAAAGTCAAATCTCTCCTCCCTTTCAAAGTTGGGATCCATAAAGGAATAGCCTATGATCTTTCTCATACTCCATATTCTACTCTTTTTTGGTACATTTTGGTTTCTGTTTCTGCCTTCCATCCTATTTCCCTATACCCAGTATACCTCACTACCTGACTCTGGCAAAGGACTCTGGCAAGATCGCCACTTCAGTGTACTCTCTGGTTCTCATCTTTCTTAGCCTGTGTGACATACTCTCCTCCTTAGTCTTCTCTAGCATCCACTCTTATTTCTCTGAACTCTTGCTGTTCTCCCAAAACTGGGGGTACGTCAATGAATTCAGTTTTGCTTCCCTCTGGGTGATCTCTTCAACTGCCATCATTTCATTCACCACCATCTATATGCTTATGGTTTTAAAATCCCCTCTCTTGGGGCTGGGGAGATGCTCAGTGGAATAAGTGCTTCCCTGGCAAGCACAAGGGCCTGAGTTCAATCCCCAGTTCCGGAAAAAAAAAAAAATTAAAATCGCCCCTCTAGCTCAGATTTTCTCTTAAATTCTATGTTCACGTATACAGCAGCCTAACAAATACTACTACTTACCCATGTCTACCTGAAACTCTACATATAGTCAAATAGATCTTCTAAAAACTCATTCCTCTACCTGTGTTCCTACCTTTATGAGTAGCACTACCACTCAAACAAGAAACCAAAGAATTATCCTTCTTTTACCCCACACCTACATCCCTTCAGTCAACAACTACCAATTGTTAAGTGTAAACTAATGCAATACACCTTAACTGGTTTTACTACCTCCAGTTATGTTTTCTTCTGATCCATTTCCTACAATGCACAAGAGAAAATTTTTGTTTAGCTTTTCTGTTTACTAAAAAATATTTTAATGAAACTCTGCTAAAAACTCCATTAAGAATCATCACTGTAAAAAACAATTTAAAAAAAGAAAAAAGAATCATCACTGTGCTAGGCACAGTGGTGCACTGTAATCCTAGCACTCAAGAGGCTGAGGCAAGAGGATATCTCTGTAAGTTCAAGGCCAAGTTGAGCTACATAGTGAGTTAAAGATCAGCTTGAAGTACACAGCAAGACCCTATTTCAAATTTAGAAAAAAAAAAACAAAACATCATTGCCTATTACACACACGAGACTCCTTGCAGAGCCCACTTTCTGACCACTTCTAGTCCAGTATCTCTCTGAATTACCAGTAGTTCCTGGAATGTATAACTCTGACCTTGTATCTAAGTGCCTTCTGCCTGGTTCACTCCACTCATTATCTTCCTCATACACAATTTCTTAACTTTCAGGACAGAACTCAACTATCACTCCCTGTGAAGTCCTTTCCTCAATGTACTTTACTCCTTCCTTTCTATCTCACCTCTTCAGCTGCTACTCGAGTACTGTACTAGAAGCCACAGTGGTTATGTTTTGTTGCATTTATGTATTTACAGGTTTATTTCCTACTACTTTGCTCTTGCCAGGACCAAGTTTTAGCAATATGCCTAGTGCTTCCTATGTGATCAGTAATCATAAATAAGCAATAGGCTAGGTGAAATCCATTTTTCTGTTTTTTAGATGGTAATGGGGATCAAACCCAGGGTTGCTGTTATTTCTCAACATTCCCAGACCCTTTTACTTTTGAGATAGGGTCTAAGTTACCCAGGTGGGACTTGAACTTTCAATCCTCCTGCATTAGCCTCCGAAAGTGCTAGGCTAATTAAGCATGTACCACCATACCTAGCTTAAAACTAATTTTTATTGAAGGACAGTGTATACTGGTAACAATGTACAAATATTATACTGGCTTTACGATGGGTATAATGATTTGAGAGACAAGCTGCTTTTGGTTTTACTTATTTTAGTTTGTTGTTTTGTTTTGTTTTGAAACAGGTTCTCACTATGTAGCCCAGGCTGGCCTTGAACTCATGTAATTTTTTTTTTTTTTCTGTTTTAGCCTCCTAGGTGCTGGGACTATATCCGGCTTTGAAAGACAAGATGACCTTACTAATTTTTATTTGGCTTACATCAGTATTAAAACTGAATGTACACTGCTTACGCACACACTGACAGAGTAGAAGGAATCTTACTGAAAATATAAGGGATATCAGGAATAATCTAATAGAAACTAAAGTGTCACTGCGAGTATATTTTACTTTAATAATAATTTATGAAGACACAGCTAATTTCAATTTGTAAAATGCTACCACAGATGTTGTTTCAATTAAAAATAAAAAGAACAATGCACAGGTCATATATATGGAAGAGCTCAGGTCACTGCAATATACCTAACTCAGGGGATCTCTCACCTAGTTCAGATTCATGTTTTCACACACCTAACCACTAGGTGGCACACACTTGTAGCCTCATTTATAGGACTTTACCATCAATTTTAACACAGACAAGATCTGGGATACCAAAAATGACTTAGCATTTGGTTATTAGGAAACTAAAAGAAGCTCCTAAATCCTTGCTCTTCCTCTTCCCATTCCTGCTCCCAAATAGGAGATAGTCTCAACTAAGATGATAGGGCCAGCCAGATAGTGCATCAGATTAAAGCTGCTGCTTAGGCAGATGTAGGGATGGGTTTGATCCCCTGCACCACATGCTTTGCTGGCCCCACCCCCACCCCCAGGGCATGCTGAGCTGGCCACTGAGACTGGGTGTGGTGGTGCACACCTGTAATCCCAGCGCTTGGGAGGCTGTAAACAGGAGAATCACTATGAGTCTGATCTAGTAGTGAGACCCTGAACACCCTGTAGGTCCTTCCCTTAAAAAGAAAGAAAGAAAGAAAGAAAGAAAGAAAGAAAGAAAGAAAGAAAGAAAGAAAGAGGAGGGCTGCAAGGAAAGCCAACATTTTGGCCCTAACCTTCTAAGGTCAATTAAGACTCAGGACATATGAGTGTTATACCCTGTCAAAATTGACTCCATTTTGTTGCCTTTCTAACCTCGCGGAGTTTCTGTTTTGTATGCGTCTACACCACCCAACTCCTGACTCAAGTCTTATGATATCTGTTCCCCAAACCTTATCTCAACGAACTCTATATGACTGCCAACTCAGCACCTCCACACAACAGGACCACCCCATAAACTGATGACTCTCTGTACCCCATGATTGCTGATTTCAACACCCCACCCAATGGGACCACCCAATGAACTAATGACCCTGCCACTTCTTCCTCTCCACCCCTTCCCTGTTTTTGTGGTTTTCCGTTTTTGCGGTGTCCCTTTTGCTGCAGAGCTCTGTTATCAGTGAGGCGAAGGGACCCAAGTGTCCCTTTCGCCAATTGGTTGCCTTTAGAGATTATGGACTTTGGTCACATGTAGAGGTTTCCGTGACCTCTGGGATCTCTTTAGGTAAGGTTCTTTTACCCCTACCCCTTACCCCTACAGATTCAAACTATGGGGGGCTAGCAGCTTTTGCTCGACCTCTCATTTCACATTTCCCTTTGAGATTCTCCTTGTTACATGTTGACTGTTTTCCTGCCTCTTAGTGGAGCTAAATCGTGATTGTGGGGGATCTGTTTATTGTTTTTGGGCGCCTGTTAATTGTTTTTCGTTTTGTTTGGTCTAATTATGTATGTCTATGTTTTGTCCGTTGTTATTTTCGTTTCATTTTTGTTTGCTGTCTTTCTCGTGTTTGGTCCTGCGAAAATAGGACGGGTTTTCCCTTCTCCTCCTCCCCCCTCCCCCCTCCTCCTTCTCCTCCCCCTCCCCCTCCCCTTCTCTTTCTCCTTCCACCTGCCAGCCGCTGCCACTCACAAGCTCCCTCGATTGGGACGATTGTCAGAGGATCCTGCAGACCCTCTTCACCTCTGAGGAACAAAACCACATACGCTCAACTGCCTGTAAAACAGTACTCGGACCCAACGGAACACCAACTCCAGACCTTGACCACCAAGATGCTGTTTCTTCCCTCTCATGCCCCTGATTGGGACCCCAACTCTGATCAGGGTAGAGAGACTCTCAACCGATACTGCCAGTTGCTTCTGGGAGTCCTTAAGGCAGCAACCTGGAAGCCCATTGACCTATCCAAGGCATCAAAGGTAAGACAATTAACTACCAAGTCCCTACAGAACCAGCAGAGCCAACAAGACCGATGGCCCCAAGACAACCAAAGGTCAGGCCTTTCACCAATAGGTACTAACCAATGTGCTTACTGTAAGGAAATGGGACACTAGAAAAAAGATTGCCTTAAGTTAAAGATAAAAAACTGGAAAAAAGAGACTCTCCAGTAAAGGTCATAGGGGCCACCAGACAAACCAAGATAGTACCATGTGCTTCTGTTAAACCCTTTGCTACCACTCTAAATCCAGATTGTTAACCAAGATTTCATTAAGTCCCTCCAGGCCTTCCAGCCGATACTCGCTTCCATCCACTGGCATCCATCGCCAAATCTTCCACCCCCCAAAACATTTAAGTGTAAGAAAACAATTTGACCTTTTCTCCTTATCATTTATCATTTAATTGGATAAGAGATAAGTTAAAACATAAGGCCTTTACTGTAAAGTGCTTAGGTAATCTTGTTCAGGCTTTTTAAATATTCCTTGTAAAATTTGGATAAATAGTGGTTACTCTGCCAGCTAGTAAATGCTCTTGGAACAGCTGCCACTCTTTAAAGCACAAGACAGGTTTCCCCAGCCATTCTTCGGTAAATCGCCACTGAAGCCTATGGCTGATGAAATGTTGGTCAGAAAAAAAAAATGCTGGATTTCTTTCTGGAGACATCTCTGGTTGTATGAGCAAAAAAAAAAAAAACAAACAAACAAAAAAACCCTGAGACTACCTAAGGGGTTAAGGCGCTATACCCAAAGGTTCCTTGGTGGAAACTGGTTTCTGACCACTAAAAGCTTACATCTGCTTTATGTGTTAACTGAAAATAAGATGTTTGCCAGCTGTATTGTGTTTTTACTAATATGTAAAATGTGACGCTAAATGATAATAAGTTTCACCTGTGGGTTGCAAGGTTAAATCTTTAGTTGCAAAATATTTATGTAATGTTAATCTTAAACCAAGTTTAGACTTCTACAAAAAGATAGGCAGCATTATAGGCTAATGTTGCATTTGAAAATGTGTCATATTGTTAGTTTTAAAACAACCAAAAGATAAACAGCCAGTCTATCATGGTTTAGCTGTAACAGGAACTTACCTGCTTCCACTGGAGCCCAAACAGTCAGACCCCTGCTGGCCAAATAGCCAGGCAGGAGATTATAATAAAAAAAAAAAAAAAATATTTTCTAGTGTATATTCTTAAAGGTCTAGAAAGAACTAAGGCCAAACCTTCAGTTATTAAATTTCAACTATTTACCAGAAAAAAGATAAACACCCCTCTGATTTCTTAAAATAATTATTTTTGAGATGCTAATTCAGTGAGGGGACAAATTATTTTACAGATAGGTTTATTACTTAGTCAACTTCAAAAATTAAAAAGAGAGCTACAAAAGATAGCTTCTGCTCCAAACTACTCACTTGATATTTTATGGGACATTAAAAAAAAACAATGTCCTATGATTAACACTGGGAGAGAACCAAGGAGAAAAAACAAAAAGACCAAAATTGGCTACCCTTGTTATGGCCTCAAAATAGATCCTCAGTCTGATTCTCTGGGCTCCAAGAAGATCTCAACAACAATAAAGCTCATTTGCTGCAAAGTCAGGCCAGCATAAGAGGGACTACCTTGAGAGGCCCACAAGCCATGCCCTAACTGCCAAGGCAGCCACTAGAAGTAAGACTGCACTCTGAGGCGGAGGCCCCAGAGCTCAGACTCAGCTTCCTAGGTGGTCTAATAAGACCAAAGGGTCCTGGGCCTGCCTCCTCCCTCTGGCCAAACTGTCATCTCTACCTGTCATCTTCATAGAGGAGCCCTAAGTAATCACAACTAAAAAAAAAAAAAAAAAAAAAACACCAGCCCATTGCTGGATATTGACACAGGTCTCTTTGTCTTTCTCCAACCAGACCTTCCAGTCGTCATCTTATTTGAGCTATAATTAAGATATATTGTTCATACATAGATACAATCCTGTCATAAACCCAGAGCTTGTCTTTAAAAAATAAAACTCAGAACCGATATAAAAGGATAAATCCCTCCTTGCTTACAATAGTAGTCATATCCAAAACTGAAGGGGACATTGATTTAATCTGACTAAATATTATGTATTTCATAAGTAAAATTAGCCTGGTTGATTTTTGATGTATTTTATGCTGATAAGAAACACAACTGTAACTAAAAAAATATGCCAAACTTAAAATATTAACAGTAATAAGATATTAATCT